TTTTGACATGCATAAGCTATTTTACTGAACAATTTTGACAGCTAATACAATCTTGCGTCTGTCGGTGATCACCATTGATTGTGAACATGATCATGGATATCAATCTCGTCATTTAGGATGGCGATTGCATGTTAATGACGTGTAATATGTCGGATATGACGAGACGGAAAAACGAAAGTAAGGAGAATTAAGCACAACTACCGGTAGATAGTTAGGATCTTCTCGATTCTGGTGCCATTGTAGGTAGTGAAGCAAACGTGTGATGGTATGAATCATGCCATCACACACCACACCTGCTTCACATACTAGTAGCGACGTGCATGCAACATTGCGCCGTAAACAAACCAGCGTGTGCACAATAGGCTATTACTATACTAGTACAGTAGTCGGTGTCATCCGTGCGCCTAGACTTGTGCAGACGAGAAGGCACCATTCCCGCGGAACTTGCCGGCATGCATAACTACTGCAACAAGGACCGACACTGTACTTGAGAATCCCTCAACGGTGAAACCACTCAAAGAATCAGTGAAATTGGGCCAGTAGTGGCTGAGATTGAGTAGATTATGTCGGCGGTGTGACGTGAGGTGGTAGGCACGTCCGTGGGAGGGGTCAGTCCCTCTCTGCGTGTACAGGAATGGTCAGCGGCGTAACACTATACCGGTATACTTTGAATACAATGTTATTCCAAGCCAAGCATGACCGAGGTAGAAAAACTCTACGTGCGCAAGTGTATGGTGTGATGCATCGCATTGGCACGCGAAATGAGGTGGTTGACACGGGTGTCAGGAATTAGCGCCTTTGTTTTGCGTCCCTTTGCGAGGACCAGTCGAAGAATCAGTGGAATGGAGAATTGATGTCTGTTGTGACTGGCCCTCGCGAGGTATTCGGCATATCCGCCCGTGCGTCCGTAGGCTGCGTATACCAAACTGGTCCCACCTCTGAGGGCATCTATCGCCGGTGGGACCAGTCGAAGAATGACTGGAATTGGTCCAGTATTGTTCGTATCAGCAACACAATTTTCATGTTAATCGGTCAATAAAAGCACACACAAGTCACCCAGCAAGCGTGAAAACGCGTTAATCCCCCAAAAATTGTTCAAAATATGTGACACGAATAAATACCCTGAAAAGCATGAAAACCCTACACCCAGGTAAAAGGGCCGTTTTGGAATATGGCGTCCTCAATGAGTAAATCCCACTTGGAATTGTTGGATTTAGGTTAAAGCTCGTCAAGCAAGACATGCTTCAATTCTTATCAGATTTATTGAATTCGGCCCCAAAATGACGTTTTGGGCCAGAATATTGTAATATTTCAGGTTACCAGACAGGCCATTAATGAAATGTTCTACCGTAGTCGATACTATTAATACTACGTAGTAGTATAAAAGCAAAATGATATCCAAATTGGGCTTGTGAGTCATTTCGCCAAGTATCATTTGATCCAATTTTAAGCTTATACAACCTATACGATACTAAGTAATATATATCCAATACGAAGGGCTAGGCCGAATCAAAAGTTTGGATTGGCAGAAATTCCACAGGACGTGATTTGATTGGCTTGGGCGGTTCTGTAATCCATTTTCTTAAGAATACCACCATATTCTGTCAGAAAACGGCCATTTTGCCAGGAAAAAGCTTGAATGTAAAAAATTGGAATTCTTCAAAATCGTGTCTCTGGACGCCTCAGAAATCAGGAAAAATCCTCCAGAGTTTGTCAGGTGATTTGCCCCAATTATAGCAGAAATATAATACTCTGATTTGGCGTGCTGACACTTGTCCTGGCTCTACATTCGTGAAATTCTTGGGATTTTCTAGAAACCTGGAGGCATCCAGACATTTCACGACCATCTTATTGTGTCAGTTTTTATATGTGACTTGGAGTACTAGGAGAAAAATGCAAAATTTGTCAGAGTTTTCTCACGAAATATCACTTGTGGCATCCAGACCAGCCCTAAGACATTCGATTCTGCTGAGGGCTCTAGTTTCGAATCGATTTGATAATACCACAAAGATCAATCAAAGAGTGGTAAAAGGTATATTACCCGGTAATTGGGAAGGTAAGGTAAAAGGTAAAGGTTTAACCAGGACCATTTGGGGTAAGGTAAGGAGGGTAAAGGTAAAAAATGATACTAGTATTTTTACCCCGTTTAACTTTTACCTTACCTTGCCGAGGCCTATATGCGAGTTAGACACAGTGTTGTGGTACGCTATGGTACTTCTCTTTTCAGCTTTACTGTTAACTCAGAATCTGTGTTTCCAGGAGCAACCGTAAACTGACTTCACCCTCTATACCCAGATTTTTATCTAGTTACTGTACCTCCCAAGCTCAAGTAAAGATGCAGGTGATTGGTTGAAAATTTCAGAGTAATTGTTTTCTACTAATCATGGATTGTTGCACGGAACCAAGTTGTAACGGAACTGCGCCCATACGTATAGCGCAAAAAATCCTCCTGCGCCGTACCGTAGCATTCCGTACCTAAAGTTCATGTAGAGACAAACCCGGATATATTTTCAAGAACATCACACTGGTTCATTCCATACGTGAATACCTGATAAAAAAACAAGTCCTACCTGGGCCAAAGGTCATATCGTAACTCACGTTGTTCACTGATTCGCCAGCATGCTCTGTACACATCCATATAAGTGGTGGACCGGGCAAAGTATATTGAGGACGTGCATGACACATACCGGTGTAGTCTAATGTAAAGCAAACAACTTGCCAACATCGTACGTCCAACCTAGCTCTAGAAAGACAGCTCACTATGTTCTTGAAATATCCAACTCACATACGTAGATGATAGACTTCTCTACCCAACTCAGCATCTGCTTCATCTGATTCCATGGCATTTATGTCAAAACGTGGATCTCACACAACACCCATGCTCCCGAGTGTCATTCATCAATCTTACTTCACCATGAAAGTCGCCTTTGCATTGTCTGCGCTCTTCGCCTCTGTCGCCGCCCAACTCGAAATCGTCGGGGGCAAGGAAGCCGACGTTGGCCAGTACCTGAAGTTCACGTAGGGGCAAATCCGGGTATAATTTCAAGAACATCACACTTGACTTGCCGTTATCCTTGAGTCCGAGCTCGTTCATGAGATTGTCGAGGTGCATCCCGTGCTGGGCGCCGAGGCATGCGCCGACGTACTCTGCTTCGGTCGAGGAGAGCGTGACGATGGCTTGGAGCTTGGATCTCCAAGAGATTGGTCTACATGCTAACATCCAAAGGTATCCGCAGGTTGAGCGCCCGGGGGGTCGGTCGTCGGCCCATGAGGAGTCCGAGAAACCAATGAGTTGGCTACTGCCAGTCGGCTGGCCGGGGTACGTGATGCCGACTTCCTTGGTATGCAGCAGGTAGGCGACGATGCGCTTGGCCATGAGCATATGCAGCTGGTGCGGAGTCGACAGGTGGTGGGAGAGCTGCGTCACGGCATGTACGATGTCGGGGCGCGTGGACATTTGCGCAGTATAGTAGAGAGCCGACGATTTGCCGGAAAGGCTTGTCGTCGTCTAACGGTAAGCCAGCGTTATCGACCATGCTGGTGCCAGCTGGGATAGGCGTGTCGACGCGCTTGCTCTTTTCCATGCCGTACTTAATGGCTTTTCGCTCGATGTACGTTCTCTGGGTGACGTACATGGACTTGTTGCTTTCGTCGCGGTCGATCTCCATCCCGAGCAGCTTGGTGATGGGGCCGAGGTCATTGAGGCGTATGCGCCGCTGCGTGTACTCAAACACGTCTGGGATCTCGTCGTCATTGCTGGCACACACTAGCACATCATCCACGTAGATTGTCACGATCTGGAGGCGGACATCCGCTCGCCGCGTGAACACACAGATGTCGCTCAATGTCGCGGCAAAGTCGAGGGCTTCCAAGATGGCCTTGAACCAGAGCAGTGCGCTCTGTTTCAGGCCGTAGATGGCGCCGAGAATGCGCCAGGCCATGCTCCTCGCTTCGAACCCATCTAGCGGATGACCATGCTTTGTTCCGTTGCTGCGGTATCGAGAGCTGTAACTGGATCCTCGGGCCTGCGGTAATGGCGGAGTGTTGCGGGCTGGCCGCGAAATGGAAGGTGGCGGTCTCGCCAGACGGCTGCCTTGGCTTTGGCGTTGAACACCACAATGAGTTTACGCCCATCAGGGTGGAGGTGGCTTGAATGCATGTCTCTGCGGAGTCCGCTACTGCGCCGGCGTTTTGCTTCAGGTTGGTAGGGAAAAACTGGCGGCCTAGCGCTGGGCTTACCATGTCCGCGGAGATCTTCATCGACGCTTTAATGCACACTTCAAGGACTCCAAAATGGATGCGCATTTGGTCGTGGAAGAGGGCAATTTCGTCCGGGGGAAGGAGTTGTCTGAGGAAATTTGGTGGTTGATCCAGGGTAAGGCTACCAGCAATGATCGCATCCAAGATAGTCGTTTCGTAGGCGGTTGGTGCTCGGAACGGTGCATTGCCAGTGAGGCATGGGTGTTTGCAATACGCATGGGCTTCGAGTTGAGAAGGGTCGGTCAGGGTGTCAGGGTGTCACGGTGCTTAGTCGGAGGGTAGCGAGTACCATGATTCCGTACGGAATCAGCGAACGATTGCGTTGGCGTCGTTTTCCGGCCAAAGACTGTCCGTTGTGCAGTTGGAGGTCCAGAGTCCGCCGGAGAGCGCCTGGAAGCGGTGGGTGACAGGGGTGCTGATGGATACTGTTTACGTTTGGAGGCCTTCGGACTAAGTTTAGTCGAGGTTCGTGGACTGAGATTCTGGAGTTTAGATCGCTTGGACTTGCGCTCATGAAACGGATTGGGGTTGTTTTGGACTTTCTCTTCGGAAGAAGGATGCTCGGGCGGGCCGCCGCCATTCACTGTCAAGATGATATCGCGTGTCATCCGGGTGTACTTGACCTCTCAAATTTGGGAATAAGTAGAAACATATTGAAACATGATCATTACACGCTTGTTCATCGCCCTACCACTGCACCCTCCATGGTACTACCCTCACTATGCATCCGCACCACACCTATGTTCTTTGCGTCGAGCCTCGTGCCGTTGACGCGCCGCGAAGCGCAAATACCCACCTCGGCTCCGATGAACGCCAAGCGGTGTACGAAACACTGCTTGGCGTTTCGTCGCAAGGCGCACTACCCCGTGGATCGATTGTTCGTGTTGCTGCCCAGTTCGGTTGCCACGCGCTAACTGTGTCGCGAATTTGGACGCGCGGACTGCAGTCCGTCCAAGAGGGACGCATCTGTGCCGATGTTGCGTCGAGAATTCGCGGTAAACCTCTATGATGTGATATTTTTTATCGAATGTCGAATGTGCGAATATTGATTTTTAAGATTTTAATGCTTTAGGTAAATCTGGATGCAAACGAATGAACGAAGAAATTGAAGCAGCGATTCGTCAAGTACCTCAGGCGTCACGATAGCACCTGAGGTCCATGGCCTTCAAGAGCAGTATACCCAAGTCAACGATTGTGAGACGATGTTGAAGGCGCGATCAAGTTATGCCAAGCCCTTATCTTACTCCAAGCAAGCAACAAGAGCGCCTGCGTTTTGCCATGCCTTTTCTTCAGCCTCTGTCAGTTTTTTCAAATATGCACGAGTATGTACATATTGAAAAAAAATGATTCTATTTGACTAGGGTTAAAAGACAATTCTATGTGTGGACGAAGCTGTCGCAGCTCGATGTGTGAAGTCGAAACCGTTTATAGCAAAAGTTATGTACTTGGCGACTATTGCCCGCCCTCGTGTTGACTTAAACGGCACTATTTTCGATGGCAAAATTGGTGTTTGGCCGTTTGTCGAAAAAGTGCCTGAACGGCGCAACAGTAAAAATCGGTCAAAAGGCAAGATAGTGACGACTACGCAATCAGTCGATGCTAAAGTATACTTGGACATGGTTTTAAATAATGTTGTGCCTGCGATACAGTCAAAGTTCCCACCACAGACTGGTGTTGTAATCCAACAAGATAATGCCAGCCCCCACAAGTGCTTGACAACAAGTATGCTGAAGTCGCGAAGTATCAACGGAATTGAAGTGAAGAATCATCCGCCGAATAGTCCAGATTTTAACGTTTTAGACTTAGGTTATTTTAACTCTATTCAAAGCCTGCAGTATCAAAAGTGCACTCGAACGATCGAGGAGCTGATTGATGCTGTAGAAACCTCGTTTTTTAGTTGCCTGTGGATACGGTATAAAGGCATTCATTACCTTGCAAAAGGTGATGGAGAAATGCATCGAAATACACCGTAGCAACGAGTATAAGCTCCCTCGTATGAAGAAGGCACACTGATTTCAGACTTCACCGCCTTCAACGTTGAGTGTGATGCTTATACCTACGTGAGTGCATTGATCCACTTGAACTATCGACTGGGCGAGGTAGTGTCCATGGAAGCGCTTGTGAATCCCCAAGAACAAGGCCTCGCGCCAGTTGAATAAAAATACAATTATGGTGCACGTCATCTCTAAACTACCAACTTTTCACTACATTTTCTGGCTTCTATTTCATATTCATTACTCAAAATTTCAGCAAATTGAGACGTATAATCGATAGATCGCGATGTGGTGAAGAAATTCTACGTCTCACTGTCAGATTCAAAATTGGTGATGAATTGGTCCAGAAATAGATACTACTATATAACCTAGCGGTATTTTACATGAGCGCTTGGATATTTGGCCATAGGGGTGGCCGCTGAGATGTATCTTGAATTTTGTATGTCACTATTATCCGTATATAATATCCGGAGGCAGTTGGGACCTTTAACCTCCCATTAGAGTGATAAAACGCATGAAATCGGTATTTCACGTATTTGGCTTTTGGATTTAACTATATCAAATGTACGTTAAATAATAAAACCTCCATTCTTCGATTTGGCCAGTTGGAAATTTTTTGATGACGTGCATAATAGACTTTTGTCCACAAGTATTTGTTTTTGCAGTGACATACAAATTTCAAGTGCATTCCTCATCGCAACTCATACTTTAATCAAGTGAAAAATTTCGGAACAGAGTAGTACTTGGTACATTTGACACGCCAACTTTAGCGCCCAATATCTCGACAACCAAAATGCTCTAGAAGCTCGCAAACTACCCAATCAAAGCAAAGATCATGCGCGTTTTGATGTACCAACGTTGCAGTTTTCGTCACGGCATCATTTGTCACAGTCACGATGCCTTTCGTCGATTTCACAAGAAAGTTGGCGTAGAATAAAACCAATCGTGTGGTAAAGTGTTTTCTCGTTACTTCAGTAGTACAGTATAATGTTTGTGGAGGTACTGAATCCCAAATTCAGTTATGCCCTGGGAAGTTGACGGTGTCAAATGTCAAACTATTGCCGGTGAGTTTGTTGACGATGGAAATGCACAGGGTAACGTTAGTGGCAAACCCTTGCAGCCAGATAGAACGCGCAAATATTGACTGTGATGCATGATCAAGGACGAGACTACAGATCGAACAGTGCAGTTCGGACGATTAATCACTTTTCCCATCACACTACTATGCGATCTGGATCTGAGTCGCTAGAAGAACTTGAACAATTTTGTAAAGTTGGGTACTAGTATGATACTTCAATGTAGAGTTCCACCAGAATACTGTAACAAAGTTAGACTCATTTTAATGCTTCGTTTTAGCTCATACTAGTAGCTCTTGTGCGCAGGTGGAGTTGCGCTATCTACCAATAACTACGATAAGTCGAACCCAGAAACATCCAGGTAAAATGTAACCGGAAACAATGCATCATCGACATGGTGATGGTCTTTGCTATCGAATCGTCAGACACAAAACCATCCAAATCTCGTGCGATATGAATAACTATCCAGTGCTCAAAAAATCTCTCGAACCATTGCGCATTTTACAACTGACTCTGAGTTTGCTCGAAAAGTTCTGACTCTATTCTGTTACTAAAACTAGAAATCAGCACTTTAGAGCAGTCGTCGCGATTGTGTACCGACCAAGTATCACTTTGCAAGTTCTTATTATTAGTACTACAGTATTAATAGCACTATTAATAGTACTACAAAGTACTACAAAGTACTACTACGTAGTATTACTACGTAGTAATAAATAGTACATGACGCGTGGATTCTATTGTATTAAGGTTTCCACTCAGCTGCGTACATGAACTTACAGTACTGTATCAACGGTGCATTGACCATGAAGTACAGTAACACTACACCGAACGTTATCGACTTGGCGGTGAAGGGTCTATTACTACTAGTAGTTAATCAAATCGCCGTATAGGGATTCTTGGACCAAGGCGTACAGAAACCTACACTCGACTCGGCCACGCGAAAAGACGGAAGCGAATGGGTTATATTCTACTACGAGTTACATGC